TTGGGGGGAGCAGGGTGGGACCGGGGGCTCGTGCCGGGGGGGTTACCGGGGCAGTCGGGCGTCCCGTAGGGCTTTCTCGACGTCCATGTCGTCGCTGTCGAAGTCCACCAGGATGACATTGAAGTTGGCGTCCTTCGTAGCCCCGTACAGGTGGGCCATGTCCGAGATGAACTGCTGGACCCAGCGGGCTTGGTTCTTCACTGCCAGACACAGCCACAAACGTCCTTCAGGCTCATCGTGGGGGTCCCAAGGGCAGCCCCTTCCCCAACCAAACCAACACCCCTTCTGATGAGAAGCAATAACCTCAGTGTCTCATGAGAACAGAGAACCTCACCCGCCTTGGGCCAGCCTGGAGGACGCAACCGGGGAGCAAAGGGGTTGCCTTCCTCCCACCGGAGGATGCCGAGGGCAGAGGGAGCAGCACAGACCCTGGAGAGACGTGTCCTGCTGTCACCTACCGGGTACCACGAAGTGCACCATGACGTCCTGCTTCCAGCTGAGCCGCAGGGGCCGGCACAGGATGGGTTTTCCATACAGGATGCTCCAGGTGCTCGGCTGGGGCTCGGTGGCCCCCAGGGCCAGACCTTCGGGCTTGGCCTCGGCGCTGTCATCCTGCTTGCCCTGGTGCAGGAGGACGTAGACGTACTCGGAGAGCCGCACCGTCCGCTGGCCCCGCTCCGCCAGCTCCAGCTCCAGCAGGTAGCGGTTCCCCCGGGCCGTGTCCCGGCGCTTCTCCACGTTGACGATCCGCAGGAGGGTGTAGATGCTACGGGGAAAGGAGAAGCACTTGAAAGCTCTGCTCCCCGCGGCGTCTGCCTGAACCCACCGTCCAGCTCACCCGGCCCCAAGGAGCCAAGCGGGGTGAAGGCACGTCCCCGCCAACCTCCCGCCCGCACCCCGCTCCCTCCCTACCCTCCGTTCTTCTCGTTGAGCTTCTCCATGTACTGCGCCACCACGTCGACGACCTCGCTCTCGCTCAGCTGCAGGTTGCCCGACACGTTGCAGCGCAGGTCGTTCCAGTCGGAGCGCAGGAGCTCGAAGTCCACCGAGCTGACGCTGAACGTCCTCTGCCAGTTGATGGAGTCCTCCAGCCAGCTCTGCTGCAGGTCCCCGGTCTCGTAGCTGTAGTCCGACACCTCTTCCTCCTCCTCCTCCTCCTCTTCCTCCTGGCCCTTTCCCTCCTCCTGCTGGGACGCCGTCGTTTCTGACATCTTCAGAAAGGATGTCACCCGCGTCCCCTCTGAGCGGGTCGCCTCGGAGGAGTTGTAACCAGCGGTGGCCGCCGTCCTGCCCAGGGCACGGGTCGTGTCCTCATGGGTCTCCTGACTGAAGAGCCCTTCGGTCCCCAGAGTGAGGAGGCTGGGCAGCGCCTGCCGCTCGGTCCCCAGCTTGGATGGCCGTTCCCACCTCCTGCCACCCGTACGGGCGCT